ACTCCCTTTTTCGAATTCTTCTTTTCCAGGAGTATCTCTCCAATCACGACGAAAAGTGCTCTGAAGCGGCGATATACAGCAGGCGTTGACGAGGTAGAGGCAAAACGAAGTTGTGGCAGTAGCGGTGTACCGGCTGTTTTTGTGCGTAATTCTACTTCACCACTCGTCACTGACCGCAGTTTTCCATACACATCAACCGTGCCGCAAGAGTTTGTCCAGCCAACCAGGTTAGCATGGCGAAGCATACATAGGAATTTTCTGCCTGAGGGGTTGCTGGGCTTTGCAGGCCATATAGAAACCATCTTTCCAGCATTAGCATTAATTGGGCATCATCATCGTCAACTGGAGCTCGACGGCTGTCTTCAATGGAAAGCATCACGGAGCGTCGAAGTAGCGATGACTCAGCGATGGAAGAGCGAAAAAATGCTGTTGAAATTGCGCCGTGCAACGTGCAGGTAAACATTCACTCACATAATAAAAGCTTCTCATCAATATGCGCTCCAATAGTTTTCCATAGAAAGAAGGTGTTTGGGGAAAACGGAAAAAGAATTTACGATAAAATAGTTGAAACCCGAAGAGAGTACTAAACACATGAATATCGTTTGCGACGTAATTTTGCTTCATCCACTTTTCCTATCCTTACAAGCGTTAGTAACGACAGCAATTGCACTGAAAATCCACCCTAATGCGGTGCTGGCAAGTTTCGAAAATTTCAAAGTTCCAAATGGTAGCCTAGGTACCATTTTCTTAGCCTAGAAACTACAACAGAATAAAGGATGGAATCATCAGTACTATGGTAGTCATCGAGCTGCGAGGCACTTCCAAACTTTACCTTAAGCTCTCCCAAACTCTGATTATGCACGACGTCAATGCCATACGTAATGTTAATTCGTTGAAATTGAATTTTCTACAAAATACTTTTCAAAACCCCTCCATTCCATATCCGAAAGCTGTCGCATTATAAAAGCCGAGCGAAATTAGTTAATTCCGGCCTTAAAACAAGCAGTTTTTGGACCACTTTGAACAATTTAAACATCCATCCTAACTTGCTGAAAAAAATGCCATCAGCCTTGATTTCGTTTCAGGCTGAGAGCTTACCGTCTGAAGGCGATATTCAACAAGGTGACGACACTGGTAAAGAAACTGCTAGTTCAGAGAGTTGTGCCATGTGTACTGATGTATGCACATGCATAAGAAAGTCATCGAATGATGAAGAGCCGCAGCCAGAACGAAGGATTGTCTGCCCGTACGAGCCTTTTCTTCGTTCTGATTGAAACAGATTTTTAACACACAGTATTGCTAATGTTCCAGGTGTCAGCAATTTTTTTGTCTTTTCCGTCTTTTTTTTTTTTTAACATTTTTTGTAAATCCTAAGTCTTGTTTCGAATTCAACACTCAGTAATTTCATTCTTCACAATTTCATTATTGACCGGTTGATTGTACTGGTACTCCGAGTTTTTTTTTCGTGGGGGCCCATTCGTGAGTTCTATTTTATCTTTTGGGTTGCTAGGTACTGCTTACCTTGATGTGTTGCACTGACACTACAACTTTATGAAATTCTTGAATTACTTGCTACTGTAAATTTCCTATTGTAAAGGACCCCCAGAGATAGCCTTTAAAAGCACAGCTTTGCTCTCATCTCGTTGAATGGAAAGAGATGCTTAGTATTGTTTTGCTTTTTCAGACGTTTTGCTAATAATATGTGTAAGTACTATAGTATCTGCTATGATAGTGTTTTCGGAAGTTCTTGGTCGGTTTTTGTAGTTGTCCTCGATGTTCACTGAAAATTCGGTAATAATAATGATTTTCTCTTAGATAGTTGTACGACGTAGTTCGTCGTCCCGTGAATGACCTTGAAAATGTTGTTTGTGAAATTTCTGCTGTTCCCATTTTCATGACTTTGCCTTGATTTTGATCATCCGATCTCAGGTTCACCTTCGTTATGCGCTTGTACGTAGAAAAGTGAAATGGCTTTTTTTCTGGTACATTCTTAATAATTACGACTCGCAATAAAGAAGGTTCGCTGATTTTTTCCTACTAGTTTTTGCTGTAATACTCCGAAGCGTATCGCACTTTCTCGTTTCCACACTGCTATCAGTTGTGGTGGTTGTCGTGTAGACTGTGTTGTCTTCTTAAA